AAAATATGTTTCCAGCATCAGTGGATTTTAAATTATGATCACCGTCTTCTGGGTTCAACAACTGCTCTGCGTATTTCAGAGTGATTTGTTTTTTAGGAGTCACTTCCATTAATCATTACCAGAATACATTAAGCAAGTGTTGCGAAGGATACACTATTTTTCTGTTACTTGTTTTAAAGCAATAACTCAGTATGCTTATTTGTCCCAGATGGGAAAAGATGAGAAGAATCAACAAAATTTTCTATTTCATAATATTTTTCTGATGTTTATATATTGACTTACACTACATTTAGCATTAGGAATGCAAAGCATCCCTGAAGCCATTGATTATGTTTACAAGCATTTCATTTAAAAAGCGTAAGAAATGAATAATTTATTTAGTTTACTTAAATTGTTCACTCAATTCTAGTTTCTGGCATTTTTTGCACCAAGAACCTTTCTGGAAAGTCTATGCATCATGATAAGCTGTTGTTCCCTGTCCTATACTGTACATCCTTCTGTATATTAACAAAAAACACATTTGAAGATTAGTACAATAGCTGTTCAACACTTTCTTACCTTAAAACTGAATTTGAGCTCTCAAATGCCCTTGTATAACTATGTTTGGCAAATAAACTTTCTGATATTATCTTGCCAGTAGCTTTCAATTAAATAATTTATTTGAAAAACACAAGTACAGTATATGCCAGCCAAATATTTAAAATCCTACAATAGATCCAGACATAGCCAGTCATCAAGGCTATACCCTGTACCAAAATGAAAATTTCCAGTTGGAAGTTGAATACCCTGTAAAATATCAACAATATTGCAGGCAAACTCATCTTCTCTCATTTGTCCTTTTTAATTATTCACCAAAACTTCATGAAGCTACTTTGTATATGAGTACTATTAATTTTCACATGCCTTTTAGCCAATAGTTCTTCTAGCTGACACTACTGTAGTTTGTGCCAGTTGGAGGTTGGCTTTATTATTCATTCTGTCTTCCCATAGTATGACATATTGGTCCTTATTAAACATAAACCATCCATGTTCTAAAATTGAGATCCTTTTACAAACTCCTTTTTGTGGAAGCTGTATTTCACATACCTGTATATAAATGGACATAAAACCCAATTTGGAAAAATTATAAGTATAGTATGCAGGTAAAGAAAAACATCCTTGTCAAGAGTGTTTTTGGCAACACTGCAGTGAAGTACAATACACATACTGTAGCTGGTAAGTTAACAAATGGAACTGTGAAAAAGACAGAAACACACTTCTTTCCTTTTGTAGATCTTAGCTGTAATAGTTGCCAGCAAGCATGATAAGTATTGGTCCACCAACAATGATCAGGAATTCCCTGAGTGGAATCACAAAGAAGTGTAATACATGTACATACAACTGGATGGACACATTTATTTTCTTTTAGCACGCAGAACTTAGCTTTAAGGTCAAATGCCCCCAAGCAGATCCAACCAAGTTAAAGCTTTATTCTTATATGAGTAACTGTAAAAATCAGCTTTTTATTATCAATCTCTGAACAATTGGGTCATTTTTAAACACAATTAAATAGATGCATTATTTATTGAATAATTTATCACTTAATTGTATCTATTATTATTGGCATTGTTAAAAATGTTTGTTTGGTTACCTAATATAACTAGTTTTTCATGTTACCTTGTAAAGGCTTGATCGTTGGCTTGTAACTTCTCAAGATTGTTGGGTGATTTGCACAGACCTTGGATCATTTTCAAGAGAATAATGGGGAGGGAGTGTTCACCATTTCTACAGCCCACAATTCTGTCTACAAATACATTAACAAGCTTTTCTAGTAAACTGTTTATGCAGTTCAGTCTTGGAAAAGTACTGTACATGTTATTGAAAAAAAATAAGCCATTCTTCCGGTCTGTTATATTTTTTTTTGCAAAAAGTCCATTTGAAACAGCCCTAATTTTTGCAATAGACTTTTCAAATAGTGCCAAAAAGATGTTCCTATATATTGACAATCTGACTTTGGAGAATGCTTCTTTTAAGTGCATTTATCACATTCGTTTTAGACCTTCACTGCAGGGATTTTTTCACCGTTGCTCTACATTGCTCGAACAACAATTTGCAGTCATTGGACTGATCAAACAGGAAAATAATACAGCACAGGGAATCAAGTGGCACTCACTGTTTTGCACAGCATGAATTAGAATTTATAAAACTAGAATCACATAAAAATGTTAATAGCATTTTGTTAAATTTCTGCGCCATAATATTGGGACCAAATTCATTGTTTTATAGTATTTCCATTTTTATCAATTTAACAATGTTGTGGAGATTTTTTCTTCGAAAAAGATTATCCTACATTCAGAATTATGCAGTTTCTGTTTTGAAAGATCGTTCTGCAAACTATTCATATGTGAGAGGGCTGTGAGATGGGATTACCATATCAATCAAGATATGCTTCCTTCGTATGGTCTAAAGTATATTGGTTTATATGATAACCTTTTAGAGATAAGCATAATCTATCCTAATACTACACATTTATTGTTAAAATGCACTTGGTGAGTATGGGCATCATATTTATGAAATAAGTTACATGATTAGATAACCTCTTAAGCCACCATATGTGTTCTTTTCAGTCGGCATCTTTTAATGTTTCCACTCTCCTCAAATCCTGTTGATGTCTCGTTAGTTCTTAGTGTTTGTTTTTTTTTTACCAAGTCAAGTGTAATGATGCAGTAATCTACAGTAGGTCCAATCCTTTAAAATACCTCGGCAAAGGATTTATTCTTCACTCACCCCATCCCCCTTTTCCCCCTCCAAAATTTCAACCTTCCTCTCAGTAGCAGCAAAAGGGTCAGTTAAAAGAAAGATTTCCCGAAGAAAAGAACGTCGGCTCCAGAAACATTAACCACATGGAGATTTTACCCTTTAGACAGTTAGTTCTATTCTGAGTTCTTTTCTTTGCTTCCCTTTTAATTTTCTTTTACTGTGGTATACTGTACATGATATATATATATACAGTATGTTGCACACAATAGCTTCAAAGACTCACTTAGAAATCTATTAAAATGTATCCATTTTACTGAAGGCTTTGTGATATCAGCCTAGCACAAACATTATTATTATTGTGTGATACTAGTTGGAAGAGGCTTTATTCTTTGAGCTGAGCTTCTTTTTTTAGTACCCAATCCTCCAAAATGAAACTGTCTCATCTGTAAATTCAAAAGATCCAGAATGTTTTAACTGCATTAGAGATGTACTGTGATGAATGACATCAAAAGATAAGAATACAGTGCTGTGTATAAGGAGAAGGCTACTTTAACATTGTATCTATAAATAGTTTAAGTAATTCTGGTAATGTCAAATAATTGATTGAACAATAAAAATATGTTTCAAATATGTCACTAAAAAGGAAAATGGAAGGATATATCAGTTACTCTTTATACGTGGGTATAATTTACTGAGCTTCAACTCCACATCCATCACTCTGAGGTGATGTTTCTTTAGTATATATATATAAATTTAGATTTTTAAAGTCTTTGCTGGAGGGAAACTACAGAAGAATACACAAACTGATTTAATGATTTGTGCTTTAAATGATACTGTACAGTACAGATGCTCTTCGGTCAAAAAATAACCAAAGTAAATAAGACCTATAAATGTATTATATAATGTAATATATTAAGCCATTTCATTAAATCATAAAATGTGGTATTGATTAAACTCTAATCTCATCTCCAGAACATAATCCTGTTTTTTATAGAGTCTGTTAAAAAGAGAAAAATGTATAAAGAATATAATGTGATTCATAAGTGATAAAATGCAGTTCTAAGGTTGTTTTTTTCATATTTTTGAATTTTGCTCTAGTAGGCCATTAGTGTGACGTTCACATACTGATTGGGTGATGATCATTTAAATAAGACAATGTCAGTCCAGCTAGCATTGTGTGTTAGTGGGATAGCCAAAGAGAACTTCAGATTTTGTATTTTCACTGGCATTCCTAATGTCACGAGAAGTTTATCAGAACCAAAAGCAAAGGGTTGATGCTTTAGGGGATTTAGGGAAGAAATATCAACTTTTTTTGCCACAGATGTCATTTGCCACTTTTAACAAAAAAAAAAGATAATCCATTGGCTCTTATTTAATCAAGCTACTGTACTGTATTTTAAGTGCAAATTCACAGGACCTCATTCAGTTTTCCATTTCATTTCTCTTTCACTCTGAATAGAGAAGACAGTTTTACAAGATGGTAGAACTAGTTGTGAATTATTAAAGGCACATTTCTGTATTTAAGACATACTGTATACTATATACCTTATGTGTCTGTTTATATAAAATACAGAATCTGTGCAGATGCACACATGTAAAAGTTAGTGTTCAGTCACCAACAGTAATGAAATGCAAGCACTTGGATTTTTTTTTAACCTCTAGAAAATTACTTATCATCAAAAGAGGTTGTTATCCTCGTTGAAAAAAATTCATTATACATTCATGAGGAGCAAACTGCTGCATCAGCACTTCTAACAAGAGATATTAGATGGAAAGCTGAATATGTCAACTTAATAGTATTTTACCTTGATGCTTTTTCAAGTTTGTGTTTTATAGTCAAAGCAGTATTAATCTGTAGAGCGGTAAATTATCTGATCAATCTTTGTGGCTTTTTAAATGTTGTATGACAAACCTTACAGTATGCTGTGCCATATAGAACTTAATAATGTTAGAATTAAATCATAGGGATGTGGAAAGGATGATTTAAAAAGTAAAAAATCAGCAGTGTGATCAGATATTTTAAAAATCAGTACAATGTGCATTGTATTATCCACTAAAACCAGTGTTAGGCTGACATGGATGGATTCTTTAATGAGTTGATTATGGCTTACACAAGTGACTGGCATTACCAATGCATGTTGCAGACACACTAAGCTGGACAGAAGACATTATATTTCTTGTAAATAAATCTTGTAAACCAGAATTAAAAACTACAGTATTTTCCACTTAAAAAAAATCAGTTTTATAATAAAGGCTCATACCTCGCATTCCCTGGAGCCTGTTTTGCTAAATGTGCAGGGTCCTGTTCCATTCAGCAGCATCTCACTGGTTTCAGTATTCGTAGGCTTATAATCAACATAGTATTCCTGTGTAGTGGGAGTCATTTGCTTTAGTGACTGCCTTTTCTTTTTTCTGCGCCTTCTCATCAGAGACTTCTGTTGCAGTTGCTTCATGCTAGCAGGATAACGCTTCCAAGAGACATAAATCACTAACAGAATCACAAGTACAGAAAGGAAGAGTGCTACACTCCCTGCAATGATTTTGTGAAAGGAGATGTGCTCTGTGTCATGGTCAGCATCAGTGCTTGATTCTGGTATGCTTGGGGTAGGCAGAAAAGGAATCTCATGTTTGGTCTCCTGTTTTGGCCTGCTGGGGGTAGGCTTCAAAGGAGGATTGACTGGAACTCTTGTATCCAATTTCTCAAAGGTACTTTTGCTGCATATGCTGTAATTTTTCACTGCCTCCATCACATTCACCCCCTGCAGTTCCTTTGGACTGGCACAGATAATGGTATTCTCCCTCCACCCTCGAAAACTTTTCAACCAGTTTACAAGGGAACAGATGTTTTGGCTACATTCCCATATATTCCCCGTCAGACTTATGGTACTAAGAGAAATCCAGGAATCCACAATTTCCTGTCCAATAAATGTGAGCTTGTTAGAATCCAGATTGAGGGTTTGCAAATTGGGAACACATTGGAAAACACTTGGTCCACTAAATGCTTCAATCTCATTGCCAGACAAGTCAAGCTTTTGTAAAGAGCTCCAAGTCCAGGACATAGTTTGACCAATGACACTGATCTTATTCCACTGAAGGTAGAGAAATTGCAGACTTACAAGACGTGGAAATAGAGCTAGGTTAAGCTTTCCAAACTGATTATGTTCCAGATGTAGTTCCTTTAGACGAATTAAGCCAGCAAAAACATTCCTTGCCAAACTTCGTATGCGGTTATAACCCATGTCCAAGAATTCCAGGTTGCGACAGTCCTGGAATATCCGAACTGGGATATTTCGGAGATTATTGGATCGCAGGTGCAAGCTCTGTAGTTTCCTTAAGCCTCTGAATTGTTCTGTGCCAAGTGAAGATAACTGATTATAGGAGATATCCAAGTTACGTAGGTTAGTCACTGGTCGGAATGTGTTATTTAGCAACTGTTTGATTTTATTGGAGCTCAGTATCAGCTCTTTCAATCTTCGTATGCCATTGAAAGCATTTTCATCTATATTGCTGATGTGATTATGATCCAGATACAACCAAGTAAGCTGGTTCAGTCCTTTGAACTGATTGTATTTGAGGCTTTGCAGGCTGTTGTAACGTAGTGAGAGACCCAAGCAGCCTCCTGAAATCCCTTGGGGAATTTCTAGCAGTTTTTGTGATTCACAGTAGATCATTTTGCCTTCACACCTACAGCCCTTAGGGCATCCACGTTCAGCTGAGGAAAGCATTGTCAGTAGTACAGTAGGAGCTATCACTAGTACTGCAGCTGATCTGCTTAGTAGCCTGATAGCACTGAAACCTACAATACAGAAAATAAAAATTTCATCTCAATGCATTATCAGTTTACAAAGGTTTTTCATCTTTCCATTACAATTATCTCTTGAAATTAGTATTAAACAAACAGTCAAACAGAAGATGTGTACATATAATTAAGTACAATTGTAAATCTTGTTAGTAGAATATTTGTTAATTTGTAGCAATAATTTAAAACCACATGAAATTGTTTATTCTCTGTAGGACCTATTATGGTGCTTTTATTTAGTAAAATTCTAATTACTCAAATGTATTCAATTAATTAAAAAAGTATTTTTTAAAATTAATTTTAACATAACAGTGTTTATAGAGTGTATTGTTTTTGTTTTATGAATACTAAACAGAATTTAGTATTTATTACATCACCTTAATTATTATATTTTAAAAATGATTAGGATTCATGTACTACCAATAGAAAGTACATGGCTATAAAATCCACATTTAAAATCCACAATTTTTGTTGGCATTTTTACATTAATTTTATTTAAAGCTGAGAAGATAGTATGTAATTGTACTCACCCATCCTTTGACTTCTGTAGAATTTGTTCCTAGCTTTTTTGTTCTTTGTTCACTGTGCCACAAGTATGATAGTGTCAGTGGCACTGCTGAAAGTCAATGTACACTGACACCCAGATATAAGAACTGCAACCTAAAGGATGCAGACAATTTTTGGAACATTACTCCCCCTTGTCAGGCAAACTTGAAAACAAAAGCAGAAAAAAAGCAGCACTTGCAAAGGGTTAAACTTCAACTAGGTAATTTGCACTTCGTGGACATTGCAGTATCTCATTTTTATATTTAGGAAACAGCAGTACCAGCAGTAGGGGTAACGACAGAACATGTTCTCTCCCCAGCATTTCTAAACAACTTTCCTTAGCCAGCATTCAGTTCTCTTTGTTTGTGCCCAGTACCCCACTGCACAGAAGTTCCCATAGTAGCATCTGATTTTCTGAGGAAGCAGAGAAATGTGTACACAAAAGCAGATCCGCAGCAGTGAATGGGAAACGATGCTCACTCCAGCACTCTCTCTCATTCTGATAGCTTGCTAGACTGTTGCTCTGGTTTCAGTGGAATGCAATCTTGAGTCAAGCTGCCCCCAGTGGTGAAGGATAATACAAGCATGTTCACAGAACTCATCCTGTCCTTTTCTTTATCTTGCTAATGAACATGATTTCTGCTGGGATATATGAAAGATTAATCTGGGAGGCTAAATACAACTTTCAGAATATGAACTAGTTTCATTGTTTTTTCATGGAAAGTAACCAATTACACAGGGATGTGCTACATACACCATCAGGTATGTTAAGAAAACATGCTTAAAAAATGAGATTGTGTGTTTAATCATTTGATTAGCAGAGGTAATTCCAATGATTCTGTCTACTTAGATTCACTTTAAATGTAAATAACATATCCCTAAAGTGTGAATATGAAACAATAGTATGATTTCAGTATGTTTATGTTTTTGTAATTTTTGTTTCACATTTGTAATAAAATAGGATTTTCATATAGTTTCAGATCATATTAGAACAAATAAAGCATGTAATTAAAACTGAACTGATGAAGACATTTTAAACACAGAACAATTCTTCTCTTTACCCTTTTGCATGGAATTAACCTTTACTTGTTTCCTTGCCTGAACCCTGCTGACAAATTCCCCCTTCAACCTGTAGTTATACTGTATAGCTTGCAATCAACTGTGATTGAATGCCAAACATAGTAAACATTTTAAAGTTTTTTTTTTGAAGTCATGAACAAAATGGCCAGTATGAAATGTGTTTTAAATACTTGAAATCATGTTTATATATTGGATATATCTGCTGCTTCAGAAAAGCAAGAGTGACAAAGTTAACAAGTTTGTTGGGGAGTTTTATGACTTTAGGATTAGAAATTAAAGAATGTAAATTAAAACACAAGGCCAGGCTACCACAGAAGGATATATATATAGTTTAGCTGTTCCATTTTGTTCTTAACACTGTATCATTAAAGCTGTAAAGTATCATCTTTGTCACAACCATTGATTTTAATATGGCAACTCTGTCGTACAGTACATGTATAGTAAGTCAAAGACATACTTTCAGTGCATTTCCATTGAATTAACTCTGGGAGAAAACATTAATTAATGTCCGTCATGTGGAAATGAACAGTGTACTGTGTCTGACTCCTGAGACGTTTATTGCAATATAAAATAGTTTATCTCATAGAATGTGACCTTAGTTTGTAATTGGATACTTAAACAGGACACCTATAATGGTTTTCTATTTTTTTGGGACATTCTCTCATAACGTGTCCTAATTTGCTCTAAATAAAAACAATTTTCAATTAAGCCTCATGAACTTTTATGTTCACTCACCTGACATTTTTATACCTTGTGTTAAAAGAGAATATGCACATACAGTACATCATTTGGACTCATATGGACTCCTCATACCTGTACATTACATAAATACGAATATATACAGTACATACTGTGCAGTACTTTGAAAAAACAACAACAAATGAGAGCAGTTTTGTGATGTCCTACCAACCAAAATTAATTTTCGTTCATTTAGATTTATTTATCTCATTTGTGCATATTTTTATCCTTAAGATGATTAAACATGTTGTGTAATGCACTCTTTCCGATGTGCTAGCTTTCTGAATATTTCTCAACATGTGAAATGCAGTGAAATCTACTCACCACAGACATAGAAGACATCAGCCTTCTGAAGTAAGAACAAAGTATTCCCAAAGCTACATAGAGCACTTTAAATTTAATAGTGGCAGTCGGTATATTTATGCTGTTTAGTTATTTGACAACAAGGCGGCTGGCATGGACAAGCTGAGCTCTTTAAATTCAAGCCTTAAATGATGCCATAAATAAATCACTTTTCCATTGCTTATTCCTGGTCTCCGATTTAGAAGCAGACCAGAAATGACAGACACTCATGGGAGACAAAATATATTTTTTTTATGTTATGCTTTTCTATGATCAAGTGATCTATATTTCATGCTTTGATTCTTAAACTAATGTTTAACCCTTAAGTTACTGACATATGTTTCCATGTTGTATCCAAAGAATATATGTACAGTCAACATGTTTTACATGGGTTATACTGTATATGTTTAAAAAAGAAATGCAGGCAATCAAATAACTGCTGAAAAGAAGGAGCCAAACATGAAAATACCATCACTAATTCTAGTAAAATATTATTAAAAGTACATGAGAATTTTAAAAGAAATATGAATCTATGAAGTATGGGTATGAAATATGAAGTATGGGTAGCACTCCGTAATATGGTTGAGAACATAATGAGTTGCAAAGCATGACTAAGAATTGTGAAGTATGATCCTAATCAAGGAGTTTGATCATGATCATAAGAGTGTGCAGTATCACATCATCTTTTTTCCATTTTACCCAGTGACCTCTAGGAAGGTTTAATAGGGATAAAACTCAACTTTGAAAAGCATGGATGATATTCTCAAATGAGCTACAAAATGGACAGCTTATCAGGTCAACAAATACTGATAAATCTTCAATGTCTTAAGAAGTCAGTGCAGGAGTATGCAGTGTTTTGCAAAAGTATTCAGAACCTTCTTAGGGTTCAATTTTGTGAAATTACATTATGATGCATAGCATTATTTATACTTTATAGTTTATTTCAAATCTCAGGCTCAGTAACTCTTAAATTTGGAGTTGACCCCATGGTGGCATCACTAACTAGTTTCCTTGGCCCGACTGCTCAGTTTGGGAGACAGCGTGATCCTGACTGTGTCTTGGTGCCTTCCATTTCTTAATGATGGACTTCACCATATTCAGAATGTTATTAAGGGTCTTTGAGTTGTTTATACCTCCCTTTTCAGTCTGATCTATTGATCTCTGTCTTTATAGTGTACAGTACAGTATATTTTTACCCCTGAGTTGTTTGGGGAGCTCCTTGGTCTTCATGGTTGTATCATTGCTTAAAATTCACTAAACAACTGTATTTATTTTGAAATCATCTGAAACATTATTGCATGCAAAAAGAGGCAATTTTACTAAGAAAATTTTGTTCACCTAAATTAAGTTTGCTAGAGTAAAGGGTTTGAATACTTATGTAACTGTGACATTTCCTTTCATATTAATCATTTTTTGTATTTGAATGTGTAGAATAGGTTCTTTGTGTAACAAATATTAATTACTACTTCAAAGTGTCATGACTATTAAGCTTTAAATTAACACAATCTGCAAACTTTGAAAGGGTCTACTTGAGCAAGGCACTGAGTTTTGTTGTGAGTTGATGTTTCAAAGGAATATTCTCTTATATCCAAGAATGGGAGAATTAATTTATCCAATAAAACCAAGACTTTAAATTTTGTATACTGTATATCTACTTGTTGCATATTAAAGAGTTTAAGTTTTTTTAAGTAACATGATAAACAAAGCAAAGGAGAAGATTTATATTCAATATACAGTACATGGATAAATGCAGTATTACAATTACAATAAATACATAATTATAATTGATAATTATATGAAATCTTTTGACATTGTTTGCCTGTTTTTAGGAGTTACAGTCTGGCCAAGAGGACAAGGCAACCCCACCAAAGGGATTGATGCCTTACTGGTTGTTAAAGCGTGCTATTAGTGTAGTTAACAGTGTGATAGATTGGACTGGAGCTGGATTCTTTCTTGTGTTATAAATTTCAATTACAAAACTAAGGTAGTATTTGCACTAAGGTACAGCAATGAAATGGATTGGAGAGATTGTAGTTTGAGAAGTCCTGGTCCTAGTTATTTGTCTTTTAAGCATGTAAAATCTGTAATTCATTATTTTCTTCCTGTATAATATGGTTATGATGATAATGCCTCCTAGAACTGTCAACAGTACTACAGCATCCAAGCCAGCACTGTTGCCATCAATATTTACTGTAAACTAATGTAAGGTGGTTCCTCTTGATTTTAGTTCCAAAGAAATGTATCAACAGTACAGTTGATTTTCAGTTTTTTGCCGTGTGGTATATACAGTAACACTGCATGCTTCCCAGTCAAGAGTGCCCATAGAATTATTGTTTCTTTGCATACTTTTTTAATCTTCAATGGATTCTATGGTTTTAATTTTGTGTGTCTTAAAAATCTTTTTCAATTCAGTGATATTTTAGGTTTTCCCCAAGAAAAGTTGCAAGTGGTAATTTTTATTGCAAATCCTCAGAGTCACTTAAAACAAACAATAGGTGCATTTACACCAGCACAAATGTGATAGAACAAGTGGTCATGGGGAAGTATTCTCACATATTTTTGTAGCTTACTGTATACTGTACAGTACAGTTCACCAATTAATATATTTTGAAATGGATCTTGAAGATAAATTCCGGCACAGGACTATTTCCCAGTGTAAACATGCTTAAAGCACATTCCAGTGTGAATCCAGTAAAAACCTGGGAGGGCCACTACATTAATAAGCAAAGTCATCACATTGCTGCCTTCGCATAACTCATTCTGGTATGTGAAGTCAAGGAGGGAATAAAAAAGTTTAATCTTGAAGCCATAGTACACAGTTAAAGGCAACTTAAAAAATGTCCATACCCTTTATTGTTGTATCGCTTCGTGATGATTGATTTCTTTACTGCACTTAAAGATGTCAAAATGCACTACAGTGTGTGCATGTCTGTAGAGAAATGGAATCATGTTACTACACTACACCATGCATGTTCTACAGTACATGCACCTACTGTAAAGTGCAAAAGTAAACAATCTAATATACCTGATTTCCAAATCATCATATTCAAACTGAATTGGATGGCAGAAGCAATTTAATATATACAGTTATCAATAATATATTTTTGTAAGCAACTCACACTTCTAAAATGTAAATTTTCAGCTGCTTGAATGAATCAATCATTATAGTTTTAAAACTTTTTCAGAGCTTCTTAAGATTTGCAAACCTGAAGCAACTTCTATGTCTGGCATGCTTCATAATAAGTTTTACTAAGAAAAGAAGTATAGGTTAGATGGCTGTCTTTGTCTACATAGGAGCACAATTCTTCCATCTTTGCATAACTTAAAAGTGATTCATAAAAACAA